CGTCCATATAGATATTGTAGGACCCCTACCAGAATCTAATGGATGTACCTACCTTTTCACTTGTGTTGATCGTTTCACACGATGGCCGGAAGCAGTACCCATTAAGGATATTACTGCCGAAACAGTTGCTCGTGTTTTCGTCGAAAGATGGATCGCGAACTTCGGATGTCCATCTTACGTCACAACCGACCGTGGGCGCCAATTTGAGTGTGGATTATTTCACGCTCTAACGGCACTTTTAGGTTGCACTCGGTTCCGAACGACAGCCTACCATCCACAAGCAAATGGCATGGTAGAGCGTTTCCATCGACAGCTGAAAGCTTCCCTTTCAGCTACAAACATACCTCAGTGGACCGAGGCTCTGCCTCTAGTCCTACTAGGTATTCGTAACGCGTTGAAAGTTGATGCTGGATGCACTCCTGCAGAACTCGTCTATGGGACCACTCTTCGCCTACCAGGTGAGTTTGTTTCCCCTTCAACTTTCAAACATGTTTCCGACAGGGCATCTTACGTGACTAGGCTTACAAACGCAATGCGTTCAGTTAGGCCTTCTCCGATTAGACCGCAAACGACTGATGTTTTCGTCCACCCCAGTTTACAGAAGACATCACACGTGTTTGTTCGCCACGACGCTGTTCGTCGACCACTTGAACCACCCTACGACGGGCCGTTCAAAGTGATTAAGCGACATGAGAAATTCTATATAATTGAGCGAGATGGACGCGAAGATACTGTCAGTATCGACCGTTTGAAACCAGCTTATTTCGAAGGCAACCCCATTATAAGTGACGTTTCAGCTCGCTACATCCGACCGACGGATGACTCAATTATCGAAATTCTCGACGATGTGCCTGGTAATGCACAGCTGCAACAACCATCGGCGCAACAAAAAACACGATCAGGTCGAACCGTCAGGCTCCCAGAGTATCTGAAGTCATATTCAACTTAGCTGTGTGTGTGCCAACCATCTTTTTTCTTTTTTCGAGGCACTATTTTTCTTATTACCGGCAATGCACAAACCCTCGTACACTTTGCCTTTTTATATCAATTTTTACTACCATGTAATAAAAACTAAAAAAACCGGCGAAGATAAGCGTAAATTTTTATTTTTCGATATGTTTATATATAAATAATTCCCATTTTTACGCAACGTTTTCGTGGTATTAAAGACTTTTATTTATATTCCAGGTGCGACGAGCACTGGACGGAACGTCGAAAGGAACAGATGACCGGGACCGACGTACAATTTCATTTATTGTATTTTATTTATTTAATCGCCACGACACCCTAGAATAAGGTTCACACAATCAGGGGCCACCTCACGCAGTGAGCCCATCGGAAGAGTTGTACCAGTGGAGAAACCACTGGGTTTTTACTTCCGGCTGGTATCGTCTTAGGGTCCTCACGAACCCACTAGAGGGGGAGTGATCTGTAGCGTCATACACTTCCCCAAAATCAATAGCCTAGGGTTTGACGACTTTCGACATTGATGCTGACCTTGATAGTTTAACTGGACTCGCTAAGCTGAAGGCACCCGGTCAAGCCTCCTCGCCATTTGGCACGCCGTCGTGTTACGTTGCATTGCTCGTATTCGACTCTCTAGCCATTTAGTTGGAACGCATCGGTATTTTGGCACAACCATCCATATAAACTGTTCCATCCGACTACGCTATCGTGTTCTTCCTTGGTCTCGTACTCGTGGGTGTGTAACAAGTTCGAATAATTAGTGATTGGTCTTTGCGTCTGTCAAGTTCGCACCAGGCAAATCCTAAAGAGAGACTCACTTGAACGCTTAATGGATGGCCTCGTAGATATGAAGGCAACCAGCCAATGGGCGGTGGTCGTATCCCGGCCAGCTTCAATTTATCAATAAGCCAGTCACGATTAACACGATCAAACACCCTAGCAAAGTATAGGCATACAACATCAATTCATCCTCCGACAGTCAACAACGCCAATCTATTTATCTACGCAGTAGGGCAGATTAGTAATGACGGGAGTATCCTTTTCCAAACCCATGTTGTTAGGGTGCAGAGAAGTTGATCTTTGCGAAGTGATCCCTCAGTCCATCGTAGACTAACGATTCCATTACTTTGGAAGTTACGAGGAGAAGTATCACCGGTCTGTATCTCCTCGGATTGCTTCTCTGACCCCACTTAAAAACTGGCGCTGTGTGGTCCAACTTCCAAGAGTCGGACACTTTCCCCTGGCTTGGAGACCTCTTAAATAAATTACTTGAGGGTGCAGATAAGATTGAAGATCCTACCTGCGTTATTTATCCCCTTAGTTAGCGGTGATTATAACTTGTAGCCACTAAGGAAACAGGGCGGTACTCATTATCTTCATCATCTTGGAGTAGTCTGACATGAAACTAAGAGAGACAAAATGTGCATTACACTCTGAGACGTGACAGGTTCGACCGTAACCATCCTTCTAAATTTTATAAATGCCTTCCAACATGATATCGATGGAAAAGAGTGGAGACACTTCAGGGTTTCATGAAAGAAATTGTTATTGCTTTCGTTTATCCGACTGTTTCCTGCTCGATACTTTGTTTTGGCTACCCGACTGAAAAGGGGAATTAGTTGAACGGCGGCTCTGATTCTCCTTTACGCTGATGATGTCAACTTATGGTGGGCAAAGGAGGAATGCGTGAAAAGTTTATTTAAGGAGTTGAACAATATATACATAGGTAGCTAGTATGTATTCAGCAGTCTGCTAGGTTAGCTGAAGATTAATCATGTACGTGTCACTCCTCATAAGCTCTTGTGTACGTATCTGGCAGCAGTCAGTATGCTCTTTCTGGGTTTGGCTGGGCCAGTAACTGCACTTCATAGATCATTGCAGAAGTGAGCATTCGCAGTTCTCCAATGTCCACAGTAAGCTGGTTACGTTCAATAGGCATGTGGGTATAGCTTCTTAACCATCTTATAGAGTGACGAAATACATCTGCAAAGAAGTTAGTTAACGTCTCAGAAGACATGCCGAAGTCACGAGACAGAAATCTGCGCACATGAATCAAATAACGGCAGGGCATAAGCATCACAGTCTGGTGTAGCAGGAGCATTTACGGTCATACTTGTCAACCACGTGGTGCTTCTGCCCTTCTTGAAAGACTACGTACGTCTCTGTAGATTCAACTGCCCACACGTCTCTGTGTACAGGATACTTCTGTACACATAATATACTGCGTAGTTCGTCAGAGAAAGCAGCAAATCAGAGGTTATGTAGTCCTTCCGTAATTATAGAGATAAGGACAAAGGACTTACATCAAAATCCGTGTAGTAGAGCAAACTGCGATTTCCCTCATTGGCCTTCCTGCGATATAGTTGCATGGAACATTTCCAAATCTCGCGAATGCTTAATTCCAGAGGAAAACACTTACGTAAATGTTTCTTCAAGTGCATATGGCAGCACTCAACTCTGTTGTTCTTTTTGTTACCCATGGTAACAGTATCCTGCATGGGGCGTGAAGCCCACATATACCGACTGGCCCACAGATTTGCTTCCCATGTAGGTGAGTGCTGCCAGATTTTCTGTTCTCATAGCTAGATTTAATTCATGAAATCTAAGGAATTATTATATATCAGTGACGAAACCTGTCACGGTCACGAGTGTATACCATCTCCCGGAACATAAGTTTACATTCCTGATTACCAAACTGCAGCGTTCTCATTTTTTGGTGTGCAAATTACCTTACTATTAATCGAGCGTATAACATGAGAGGCACATAAGACAATGGAATAGTACGGGAACTGACTGCGAATAGCTCCCTGCTCCGCATCACTATTGTCAATAACAAACGTCACGGCTAGTGATGTTTCAACCATGATGGTCTTAAAAAACCTCAACACGTCCTCCACGTCCATCAGGCGTTCTCGGGAGTTAAACTATACATCACAGGGAAGCTGCGGTAGAGGCCATCCATGATAACCAATCGATAAAGCGGGTGGCTATAAAACGCATTTAATAATTTCAATTAAATGCCCTTCCTAAAGGCGTTGTATGCAGAATCCATACCGACAACTTCCGAGAACTTCTTGTACTTGTTTATCATTTCCCCAGTCCAAAACTAAACATCTTGACTCTTCTGCCTCCGTCTGGTGAGTAGCACACCAAACCTGTCTCTCAGATTTCTGAAACCGGTGGATCTATGTCAAGAACTTCGAAACAAAATAAACATAGCACATTACTAGGGTACACCGGTCCCCGGAAATTTCCATAGTCATCGTAGGTCATCAGCTTGCCGAACTCTGCGTCAACCACATCAATAATTTGACTTGGTGATGCATTGCGTTCGATAAGCGGTAGGATCCTCATTTGCTAGTCACTACTAAGTCTTCGAACACGTGGTTCTACAGACACCAGCAGTTCTGACGATAAGTCGTGGTTGTGTACAGTGTCAACATGTTCTACAACTTCATAACGCCCAAAATTCAGTTTAATTTGGAAGGTGAATAGGCAACCCAAGAACTTAGATCTGTAATGCGCATGTTATGGCTTCTATCACAACACTCGCTGTGATTTTGCTGCTTACTGCCTTCTGTCCTTCTCCACCGACCAACATGGCAATGAAAAACGGCATACCGGTATTTATATGCCGGGTCTACATGATTGTTCTCGTCCCTATCTAGGCGACAATCACGAATCCTATAGAGACTGTTAGTTTCCTTCGGCATTTAATGATGACTCCATTAATTAAACAACTTACATTTTCAAATCGTTTATGAATGCTTCACACTCTGGCCATGATTGTAAGTTTCTGTTCATCACAAGTCTGAATTCAGCTACCAAATTTACTGGTCCAACATTTGATCTGAAGGACATTTTAATGTTGCTTTACAAATGCCGATCATTACAAAAACGCTTCTGTTCAGCGCAAGAACGAAGTCTCGATGTTTCCAAAATTAGAAAATACCGCTTTTCCCTTTATAAGGCCTATATCGCACTGATTAATCAGAAAACGGCATTTGACGCTTTATCTCACTCGCGCAAAATAGGAAATTACGTCCGTCGACTGCACTCAAGGCTACTTCAACAGCTGATGTCAGTTCTAGCTGGGATTACCTGAATCGCCTAGAAAGGTAGTTTTTCGTAGCGTATGAGAACCTAACTGACTATCTCAGTAGTTGTTTGGGTTGCTCTTAGAGTCACCTGCTTCTCCGTCTCTTTGTTAGCATTGCCAGTAGTTTTCACAAGTTATGGTCTGCGAGTTTTCCGTAATGTTGTTCATCTACATGAAAAATATAATCATGTAAGAACTACCTAACCAGGTCATTTTGGAGTAGAATGGAAGAAATTTAGGAAAGTTTGCAGACATTTTGGGCAACACATCCAATATCTTTTTATGAGCTAGTGTAAACCAATTGATTTCTTCGCACTTGCGGAAGGTCTTCTAAAGGCTGAACTCTGATTGCTTATTAACTGTCTTAACTTATCAGTGTTTTTCAAAGTTGTTTAAAATGTATATACCCAGCTCCCAACTGTTTTTGAGTGTTATTGAAACAATGAAAGCTTGCTGACAATGGTCACTCTTCTCTTCTTGTCTCCAACACCTACCTTTTTGGAAAACGTCAGGGAAACACGCACGTACTCAAAATCCTGAGAAAGTACAGAGAGATGGGGATTGGTCGCATATTACCCTGGTTTTCCCCATCCTGTCTCGACTGGGTACCCAGTTGACTTTTTCCCAAAGAAGCACTTCGGAAGTTTTGGGCAAAATCCTAACCTACAACTTGGAATATACTTAAGGATGTGAGATGTCTTCCCTAAAGACCCTAAAATCCTCTCTAACCGTTTCAATCTCCTTACTCATGCGTTGAAGTTGCCTGCTGTTTGGGGTAGATCTTAAGGTTTTTCTGTATGTAACAAAATTATCAGCGCTTTGTAGAGCTCATCTTTTATATCTCCCTAACTGCAGTCAATGGGCCTGCAAAAATAAGCAACACGGAGCTTTAGTCTTTCCCAGTTTTCGCAGATCCATTCAGTCGGACAACAAGGAATTAGCTATTGAGTGGTATTCAGTTGAGAAACTCATTTTTTCTTCTTGACCAAAGTGAAATATATAACTAGCGGGTCCGTGGGAGCTTGCCACGAAACCTGTAACGCTTGCAAAGTGAATTTCGGGGATCCACCACATTGAATAGATGTCAAGTTAATGACCACACTTATGTCTTGTATTATATATGTTTCAAAAACAACATACACCCTCGGTTCGAGACTTCAGAGTTCTAGTGCGAGACGGTTGTTGTCCTCTTGTACAGCGTGACTCCAGTGGACTTGTATTGGTGTTTCGCTGACATGCATGGTTACAAAAGGATGCAGGGTGAGAGACTGAAGAGGTGAGAAAGACAGACTATAGTTGGGTTTTGCATATTGATAGGAGCGTGCAGGCAGTTTGTACACCGTCTACCCACACTATGGAAGTTAAAGGTTAATGAACGCAAAAAGAGATTAGTTTTTGTGACCGCAGAGTTCATGCGACATCTACTTGAGGTCTCTGAACCAATCAATATCAACGTAGGACTAGGCATTACTGCGTACGGTCCGGTTGCCATAGCTCATATCAGTACATCAAGTAGAAAGGTACTTAGGTGAAGGATGAAGATAAGAAAATGCAGTCAAAAGAAATATAAAGTACGAGAAGAGAGAAAAGAGGAATGACAAAATGGTGAGATTCGGTATAGCGTCGTTAAGATGAGGATAATGTGTGTACACATCTGAGCCACTGACATCGGTTCTGAGCTATATCCCTAGAGTCTCCAACCACTGGTTCGTATTGTCCCGCGAACCCCAACCACCTAGTCTGCATCGCCCCACATGGCTCAAACCAACAGTCAGAGACTTCATACATTGGTGCCATGTTTTAGTCTGGCCACCTCGGGCCTTTTTCCATCTTGGACCTACTTCAGCCAACATTGTGTGATGAGGCAATCGGTGACCGGGCATACGTAGTACGTGTCCCAACCATCTCAGTCGATGAAGGTTCATAACCTCGTTAACTGATTTACCTCTACTTCCTAAAACTCTACTCCAGACTTCTACATTACTCACATGGTTACACCATGGAATACGGTCTATGCTACAAGGGCAACGGTGGTCAAACACTTGGAACCTCATGTCTTCCACTTTCAATGGCCATGCTTCACAGCCACACAATAGAACAGACCGGACTGCTGTGCAGTACAGGCGACCGTTAATAGACAAACGGTTATCACGGCGGCGCCATCGGTGGCGTGAATTGGCAAAAGCCAATCGAGCCTTTTGTATCCGTGCAGAGATTTCATCGGCAACTGACCCACCAGGGCTGATCCTACTTCCCAGGTAAGTGAATTGGTCAACACACTCAACCACTTCACTCTCTATTGTTAGCCGTGGCACCGTTGAAGACCAATCCTGGAACAGCAATTTGTGGATTAACCAGATTAGTCGGGAGAGGTTAGGTGAATAACCGCACTTGGGTCCTGTATGCGTGTCTCACAAACACAGCACACATCCATGGAACAAGTTGCTAGAGTCTTTGCCAACGAAGCCTGTTGACCGATTTGACGGAGGGTGCGGACAATGAAGGCTCCAATGTGTAAGTTGGAGCGTGGTTTCAGTAGACCAGGGATGCTGTTCTGTTAACTCAGATCGTTGTCGAAGGCTACAGAGTTAGGAGGAATTGAAGGTGATGTATTATCGTTAGTTGAGAGACGTGAAGGAAGATTAGAAGAGGTGGATAGCAGTCTGAGGAAACTTGAGTACTGATTGAGTTGTGAGGGCGGTTGACATTTCGCAGCTGCCCACACCTTGGAAGGCTGTTTCTTCTTAAGGTACCTGAAAGCGATTTGTGTGACCGCAGAGCCCGTCGGATATCTGCTTGAGGCCTGTCACACGAAGCCTTTTGAGTATGATTATTTCGAACTTTTGTATTTTGGGCCGGATGGTCGAAAGGAAATGACAAGTGAACACACACCGCTGGCCCGGCAGATCGTGGGGCATAGTGGAGTGTGTTATTTTGGGGGCCGACCTTTTCTAATTCTCCCTCCCATTAAGAAGGCAGCATCAGCATGGCACTGCTAGTCATCCAAGGGAAACACCTTATGGCTATCACAACCCATCCAGCTAGCAGCAGTACGACTTCACCCTCAGACCCCCATCATGGTGTAGTAATTTACACCACAACGGTAACTGCTTTTCTTCTAATCATTATCCAACAGACCTTTCTGGTATGGTAGGACCTCGAGGAAACAAGCGTTTCACCAGCATAGCTTGTTGAGTCATTTTGATATGCAAGCCCGACCACCACGTCAAGGTAGCAGCTATCGGTCGGGAAGTGAGGATCACTAGAGGATTGTTGTTCTTTCTCAAGTACTTGTTTGGATTTCGACCACACGTTAGTAGAAGTACATGTATATCTGCGCCCTACTGGTGGCAAAAATCAACTTAAACCCATGCAAACTGCATCGGAAGACGAGATCACTAAGTGTATGTTCACAGAGCAGATAGGTAAGCCCTTATTTAAACGTGGCAGGTATGCATATCCTGAGTGGACATGACTTCATATTAAGTCTTCTGTGAAACAGTTGATAAGACAGTTGGGAACCTCTACTAAAACATAAACAACCGTCAAAGGATTTTCGCAACATCCTCCGAAATAACCCATGCCACAGAAATCACCTATCTAGATATGACCGCCACAATCATAAGCACTGTTCCGTTACAAAAACCACACCCAGGCAGAAAACATCATCATTATTGGTAAGGCCCAGCAACTATTTGGGCTTGTTAAGGATACCGGCAAGAAAACGATGTTGAGTGAAGCCACCATCGAAAAGGTTGGGACGCTAATAACCTACCATAAAAGGCGGCTAGAACGTTGGGCAGAACACTATGAAGAGCAGTTCAGCTGACCCACAGCAACGCTTCAGTTTCCTGGTATCCAGCCCGAACATGAATGGGAGATAGGTGTCGGTCCGCCAAATCTCCTCGAAGTTGAGAAGGTTGTTTCAAACATAAAAAGATACAAAGCAGCAGGACCTGAACGTTTTTCACCAGAGCTCTTTAAGGATGAAGGTAGGAAACTACTGAACAGAGTAACGGAGGTGTCAGGTAGCTTATGAGAGTCAGAGATGGTCCCGACAGACTGGCCTACTTCACTGATCATTCCAGTCTATAGGAAGGGAGAGAAGTCTTGTTGTGACAATCATAGGAAGATCGGTTTAACTAACATCATGTCCTACTTATCCAACGCCTAACCTTTGCTCGAGAAAACCAGGGAGGTTTCAGAATGTGATGAGAATGTAGCGATCGAATCTCCATCCTTCGGCAAGTTATGGAACACAGGCATAATTTCTGGCCGCCGACGCGCTATATTTCTTGATTTGAAGGCGACATTTAACTCTGTCGACCATAAGGTGTTGTGACAGTATCTGACTGTGAGCAAGTATGCAAAGCCAATCAAAGCTCTACTCGAAATCACGCAGCTGTGTGAGAGCTACTAGAGAGTTGTCATCTGAAATGACGAAAACCAGTGGGGCTTATCAGCGATACCCCGCTGTCACCGTTCCTGTTCACCTTCATTATGGAAGTACTAATGGACATAACTTTAGATAAGTTTAACTTCACAAGGATTGATCTACTCCCTGGAGGCCATCTGGTTGACTTGGAGTATGCAAACGCCATATTCACGTTAGACAAAGACGCTGATAAAATGCAGGGCTTCCTGAACGCCTTGAGCAGAAATATAAGTGTGATTGGCATGCGTCTCGCAACTTTCAAATGCAAGATGATGCTCCAGGACTGATCTCCTGCAAGTACTTGCAGTTTAAGTGTAGAAAGTGAAGTGGTGGAATTCATCGACCACTTTAGTTACTTGGGGAGTTGCATCAACTCGAACAGACTGTCTAGCGACGAAATCTCAGCTGGGATAGAGAAGGCTCATTTGCCAACTTGCGTCATCTGTGGTGCCGACTGGTGAGATATCCGACTACCTATCAAAGGACGAGTATACTGCGCTGCGGTCCGTTCTGTACCGTCATATGGCTGTGAGAGGTGACCGTCGAAAGCAGAGGACATGAAGCCGTTACTGGGTTTTGATCATAGGTGTCTTTGTAGTATTTCTCAGGTTTGATGGGATCACCATGCCAGTAATGTTGCGGTTACGCGGGGGGTACTAGGCAAGGAAGGGAAGGTAGTGGATGGCATTGTCAACGTTCATCGGTTGAGATGGCTTGGATATGTACTGCGCATGCTAAGTCACCACTACCTCGACATGGCATGGTAGGGGAAGTTAGATTCTGTTAGAAGAGGCCTCATGGTGGCCAGACAAAGATGTGACACAAGTCAGTGAAGTTCCTGAATGTTGATCTGAGCCGTACAGGCAGGTGTAGGGTGCCTGGTTAGGGTCTTCAAGGTAAAAGGAATTAATGGCTTGCGATTCTTGCTGAAGTGGCTAAGGACCAGTCAGAATGGCCTAGACGTATCCACTCCTTGACACCTATAGCTTGAATATTTTTCTCAACGTGCATTTTAAAGTTACTTCCTCTCCCACTGCCGCTGTTATGCTTTGTTATTAATCCTTTTCTGTCGTCTTATCTTTCCTTTACTACTTTAAAGTTGAGCAACCTATACGGTTGCATATATGTGCGAGGTTCCACTTCGATTATTTTTTGTCTTTGGGCGCTTTAGAACTTGTATACCTGCAGCCGTGCTTATGCAACTTAAAGCATTCATAGTTCGTGAGGCAAGACCTATGGAAAACACTCACTTCTGTTATCATCTGTACATAGATTACGTACTTGGGTTGTTTTCAGTTGATGAGAAACTAATTAAAAAATTTTCATTCCTCTCCGAATGCTACTCTCATTATGCTTATGTGTATCAAAAGAACTAAATGTACTAAGACTGTAATGTTATGTACATTTAATAGTAATAAGTCAAATGTGAGAATATATTGCTTTCAATAAAGCTGGAGAAACACTAGCATAATCATTTTGTATTGTGTAATTAGAAGAGGAAGTTTATCTGGAACGTCTGATGTATTTGCGCAATACATTTCGAACAGTCTAATCACACACTTACTTTTCAAGTCAGTTTATATGATACCGAAGAATGGGAAGACAAATGTGATAATAAGGGATTACAACTAAACACAGAAAGGGAACAGTGACATACTTGATCTTAATCTTGGTTATAAAACAAAATTCATCAAGGTAGGTGAAGTGAAAGAATTTACTTTTTGTACACATGAAACTTGAAACCACCTCTAAGCGTACAATAACAATTTGTTCTTACATTACACGTAACCTAGTAAGCTTTGTATTCGTACCAAACTGAAAAGTTATACATATATATATATATATATATATATATATATATATATATATATATATATCATTTTTCCTTTTTTGTCCTTAATTTTAATCCCTCGCTATCATGATTGTCCCATTTTTCCTTCAGATCTTCTGTTTATATACACTGACTTGAAAAGTAAATGTGTAATCAGATTGTTCGAAACGTATTGTGCACATACACCACACATTTTAGGCAGACTTCGCCTTCTAACTGCACTTATTTGTATAATATTATCATAAAACGGAATGCATGTTTCAAATAATATTTTGTTTTATTCTACCCATACGTTTCATGACATTTCAACTAAACAGTGTTTTGGGCTGGAATGGAAATTTTCTTTGCTTTAAGTAGCGTAGTATCACAAAGCGATAAAACATTGCACGAGTTTCTGCTGGTGCTTATGGGATGGAGTTGACTTTCGGATTCGAACTCCTCCCCACCTACAGAGGTGTGGGCAGCCAGGCAGTATCATTAATTCACATACACTAGGTGTGGCTCATTGACGAATGCACAAACAAAGTTGCCGAGTGTATTTCGATTTCGGTGCTCTTAGAACTTTATGTGAACTAGTAACCTCCACTAATTTAGTGCTTTTCAGTTGCTAAGTGAGATTTTATTTTTACTCCAGTTTGATTGCAATTCAAGTCAGCGAAACATATCCGCCCATTTCTACCCGACTACGGCACATTCTATTAATCCTTATGTGGGATATTTTTCATTTCAGTCTCACGATTTTTATTTCTTTCTTCCGTAGATTTCTCATTGCATGCGTACTCCTGTAATTAAGTTAATTACGCATAATCTCTATCTTCACAATCGTGTTGCAGTTCAAGTTGTTCAATTATCGTCACTTATTTCTTGAACATGAATGGCTTGAAGGATTTCCACGACCCAACCCATCTGTTCGAACATATACGCTTGAAAAATATCAATGCTTCGTTTCGAAGTAACGTCACCATCCAGTTTGACTTTGGTTTCTGGGGCTGCTGAAATTTTTGGTACTGAACTTGTTTGCGGCTGGGAATTACAGTTATATCCTGGTCAGCGTGGAACTGTCGTCACTTTCCATGGTTGTAAACTAATTGTTCAAGAGCAAGGGGTTGCTGCGTACGTAATGGCTTCATCAGAGGACCAAGAAATTGTTCATATTTATATGAATATTCACGCAAACTTGGAAGTCTCACGCCAAAAAGCTGTGAAAGAACAAAGCCGAGGACCACGAGTATTGGTGTGTGGACAGGAGAGTGTTGGAAAATCTACACTTTGTCGAACACTAGCAAGTTATGCAGCCCGTAGAAAACACAAGCCTGTACTTGTAGACGTGAATGTTGGACTTAATCAGGTAACTTCCTGTTGCTATGAATTCTTACACAATACGTAAACTTGTTTTTATGGTTCTGTCTTTTGAAGTTCGGTGAAAATACCTACTTATCGCAGTCCGTATAATTTGCAAGAACTAACTTGTTACCATTCATCCTTTCCTTGTATTAAAAACACTAGAAAATTTAAAACTGCTATGGACTGAAAGCATGCTGTGGTAATATGAGCATTGATTATGCCAACCGTTTCTTTATCCCAACCACTCAAGATGGACATTGAGGCAGAAGATCGGGAGATATAAACAATATTTTCAGGTTAATATTCATCATGGACTGACATAAGTTGGAAACCGATTGGGAACGTGAGAGCATTGGACAACGTTTTCCTCCTATTATTGAACTCCCGAGTGGTGTGAACTCACGGTCACACTTGAGACCGTTAGTTCCTGTGGTGAGCCAGTCAGCATTCACTCTTTGGTTTAGAATCCACTGGTCCACATTTCCGTACTTATACCTATTCGCGGTAAAGAGTGGTCCTCACTCCGTAGATAAAGTCAAAGTAGAACCTCGCATGATGATGCATTGGTTCACACTGCTACACTTTGCATAGGCATGGAAAAAATGAATGAGTATAAAAGAGTGGTATCAAAATAGAAAGAAAATATAAGTGGGGGCACAAAGAAATAAAAATGAAGCTTGGTAAAGATGAGGAAAATTAACAAGACTTAAAAAACTAGATATATCTACAACACCGTGACCGACCTTTAGCCACTTCAGCAAGAATCGCAAGCCATTAATTCCTTTTACCTTGAAGACCCTAACCAGGCACCCTACACCTGCCTGTACGGCTCAGATCAACATTCAGGAACTTCACTGACTTGTGTCACATCTTTGTCTGGCCACCATGAGGCCTCTTCTAACAGAATCTAACTTCCCCTACCATGCCATGTCGAGGTAGTGGTGACTTAGCATGCGCAGTACATATCCAAGCCATCTCAACCGATGAACGTTGACAATGCCATCCACTACCTTCCCTTCCTTGCCTAGTACCCCCCGCGTAACCGCAACATTACTGGCATGGTGATCCCATCAAACCTGAGAAATACTACAAAGACACCTATGATCAAAACCCAGTAACGGCTTCATGTCCTCTGCTTTCGACGGTCACCTCTCACAGCCATATGACGGTACAGAACGGACCGCAGCGCAGTATACTCGTCCTTTGATAGGTAGTCGGATATCTCACCAGTCGGCACCACAGATGACGCAAGTTGGCAAATGAGCCTTCTCTATCCCAGCTGAGATTTCGTCGCTAGACAGTCTGTTCGAGTTGATGCAACTCCCCAAGTAACTAAAGTGGTCGATGAATTCCACCACTTCACTTTCTACACTTAAACTGCAAGTACTTGCAGGAGATCAGTCCTGGAGCATCATCTTGCATTTGAAAGTTGCGAGACGCATGCCAATCACACTTATATTTCTGCTCAAGGCGTTCAGGAAGCCCTGCATTTTATCAGCGTCTTTGTCTAACGTGAATATGGCGTTTGCATACTCCAAGTCAACCAGATGGCCTCCAGGGAGTAGATCAATCCTTGTGAAGTTAAACTTATCTAAAGTTATGTCCATTAGTACTTCCATAATGAAGGTGAACAGGAACGGTGACAGCGGGGTATCGCTGATAAGCCCCACTGGTTTTCGTCATTTCAGATGACAACTCTCTAGTAGCTCTCACACAGCTGCGTGATTTCGAGTAGAGCTTTGATTGGCTTTGCATACTTGCTCACAGTCAGATACTGTCACAACACCTTATGGTCGACAGAGTTAAATGTCGCCTTCAAATCAAGAAATATAGCGTGTCGGCGGCCAGAAATTATGCCTGTGTTCCATAACTTGCCGAAGGATGGAGATTCGATCGCTACATTCTCATCACATTCTGAAACCTCCCTGGTTTTCTCGAGCAAAGGTTAGCGTTGGATAAGTAGGACATGATGTTAGTTAAACCGATCTTCCTATGATTGTCACAACAAGACTTCTCTCCCTTCCTATAGACTGGAATGATCAGTGAAGTAGGCCAGTTGTCGGGACCATCTCTGACTCTCATAAGCTACCTGACACCTCCGTTACTCTTTCAGTAGTTTCCTACCTTCATCCTTAAAGAGCTCTGGTGAAAAACGTTCAGGTCCTGCTGCTTTGTATCTTTTTATGTTTGAAACAACCTTCTCAACTTCGAGGAGATTTGGCGACCGACACCTATCTCCCATTCATGTTCGGGCTGGATACCAGGAAACTGAAGCGTTGCTGTGGGTCAGCTGAACTGCTCTTCATAGTGTTCTGCCCAACGTTCTAGCCGCCTTTTATGGTAGGTTATCAGCGTCCCAACCTTTTCGATAGTGGCTTCACTCAACATCGTTTTCTTGCCGGTATCCTTAACAAGCCCAAATAGTTGCTGGGCCTTACCAATTAATGATGATGTTTTCTGCCTCTCTGTGGTTTATCTCATTTATGACTTTCACTGACTATTGTGACGTCTCTAGTCCGCTTCTCATCTTTCGATCGCTTGTGCTTCTCTGTAGCCTATTCTGGATGCTGCCTTGTGATTAGGATATGAACAGTTGACTCAGATTTGTAGAGTGTTTCACGTGTTTTTAATTTGGCCACTGATTGACATGTGTTGATAAACCATTGAATTTCAAAAACACTGGACACTTGTTTTCATCGTGTTTTGAAACTCCTGAGCAATGTACGTTACGACCACACTATGGTTTTAATGGTTCTCGAATTCATGTCAATCCGTGATGAATAATACCTTGATATCAGTCACTTTTCAGAAACTGCCAATTGAATATCTGATCTTTAATAAGTGAATTGACTTCCGTAGCATTTCGCTCTAATAATCCTAACTTTAGGCAAAACACAACGAAGTAGTAGAGCAGTTAAATTTTTACACTTACTGTGTTTATGTGTTCTCCAGAAAATAATAACATTTCCCATAGCAAAGGCAATTTCCTGGAAATATGTGTGAATAAGACAGTTCTTTTTTACACATATTTTAGGCTGCTTCTGCTTCCTTGTTGCCTACTTTTTAGTCAGCTAGTGCTTGTCAATCTTTAACACCTTTGATGCTTTCTGTAACTGCCTGAAGGTCTTATTGTCTGCTTTCTTGTTTTTATTTGTAATATCTCCATACATTCTCATCTAATATAGTTTTAGAATGTACAGTCACAGATGTTAACGTATCTACATATTTTAAAACTGCAGTCCTCCTGGACTAAATGAATATCAGTATCCGTATTTTTGTACACCCTGTCCCAGATCCTTAACTTCATTTTTGACGTTTGTCTAACATGCAAAGAATCCTGTTTTTAATAATTTTTTTTTAAATCTGCATGGTTGATTCGCTAACATTGTACGTTGATTCAAATACTCCTGCCAACGGTCAGCGCTTATGACGCTTCAGAAACGGGGTTAAAATATGTGATGACAAAATATATCTATCCATTAAATTACTGGTTACCTGTCTGAGTTGTTTTGAAGAGTATAGGTGATCTGGCTTGTGTCTTCAAAATGTAAACGATCAATGTTTCAAAAAATTTCTGTGGTTCAACTGGAAAGATCAGATAAGCCAGATGTATTTCTCTTTTATCATCGTCATTATCATTAAAATCCAGAAATTTCGATTGGCTTTTACTTGCTTATTCTTGCACCTCTCATTTCCTTTTTATCTACTTCAGTGGAAAAATCGTTCATCCACTCAACTTTCAAGCATTTGTTCTTAATTTCAAAACTTCCTATCTACTTCAATCTGGACAACTAGGTAGTATCATAAACTCTCACACAACAAATGTAGATCAGCCTAATCTATGAATATTTGTACCGGGCAGATGAGTCGCACTATTATTACAGTATCAGTATCAATTGATTTCTGTTCATCGCATTTTTCTTTGTTTTTTTTTAAGTTTAGCCATGCAAACCTCTACTATAAGGATATACCTTTGTATTTATCTGTACTCAATCGCTTTATAGATACAGAATATTAGATACGTATTGCTTTGCCCACTGTTGATACACACTCAACCGCTTGTAAATAGGTCCACTTAAAATGATTACAGTAACTCCTACTAGGATGTGTGCCAGCTCAAATTGATCCAGTTCTATGCCGAAATAGTTTGTCCGTCTTTCTGACAGTAGTGTCAACTGTTGAACATTCCTACACTGTTCTTAACCCTTCCGTTGATATCGTACTCACTCTTTATTGACTGTCTCAGAACATTTATTCCATAAGGTAACTGTCAACAGTCAACGTGTCATTGTTATTTTTCGACATCTGAAATCAAGAAACTAAACTAATCTCTGAGTGTATGACTAATCGATTTTTCAACGCGCCGCTATCTTATAACTCATAAAATGAGTATCTAACTTGCTAAATAAGCCTCTGAATGAAGAGACAGAAGAGTTTATTAGTTATTTTCAAGGCATTTTTTAATTTAGTGGGAATCAACTTGTTATTCATTTTCAGTAAATTGTTGTGATGATTTTGATGCACGTGCTTCCAAATTGGCCAGAATCTCATTATAGGCCTCACTCAGTGGGGTAAAAACTTCAAAAACACTTCTGTACCTCATTGCCATATTTATCCCCATATTCGTTGGTTTACTTTATCATAGTACATAGGGGAGCTTCAACGTGTTGGTTCAGAAACAGCTTTTAATCAATAGTTCTCTGATTTTCACTACTTCCCACGATTCACACACAGACCTGGTATTACTGCATAAGTTTCCACACATCGTATCAACACATCAAGCAAGAATGCACAAGATGAAAGGTAAAGAATTAAGGAAGAAATGATTAAAAGTTGTAGAAAGAATACCGATATCATGTTTGATGATTAAAATGAAAATGAAGTGTGGATACATCGCCAGTGCATCGACTCTGAGCAATATCACTTAGAGTCTCCAATCAGTGGTTTCTGTTGTCAAGCGGACCTAAGCGGCTCAGACCGACTACCAAAGGCTTTAGGAACTGTTACCATGTTTTAGTCTGACCACCTCTTGCTCTTTTACAGCCTAACCCTACTTCAACTAACATTGCACAAGGCAGACGATGATTAGGCGTCCAATAACACTTTGGAATTGTCGAAAATGTTGTGTATCGGAGTAGTCGTATGAGTGCTGGTGAAGGTGAGACTACTGAGATTTCTAACCATATATCAAAAGCCAGCTTGCATATACCAGTTTGGACTACCTATGATACCATTCTAGCGTTAACCTTAGTATATAAAGGGTGGAAAGTACAATACATTAGTGTAAGAAAGCTAACCTCTCCATTTTGAAAGAGCCTAGCAACTCTGCGTGTTTGCTTACCGTTATCTGCGTAGGATTGCTGTTATCCGGTTGAAACACCACGTAAGTAACTGTGTTGTGCTGCAGCACATGTTTTGGAGTGGTAGAGATGATTATTTATTAATTGATGTCATCTTGAAACCATGAGTTCGGTGGCCTGGACACGTGTAACGAATGTCGTTCTAAAGTGAAAAGGTAATCAGTTTATAATTTGGCACTGGATGAAGGACGGTTGTGTTGCTTTGATATTTGTAGATGCTTTACGAATCGCGAATGGGGATCTGTGAGGTCGCGCGATTCAGTGTTTTTAGATGACACTAGACACGGTTCATAATCAAAAGCACTGACGATCGTGCTGGATCTTGCCTACGTTTTGTGTTATTTAGTAATAAAACGAAGGTATTGGAGGCCGCTTTGGATCTGTCCTCTAGTCTGCTTCTTTAATAATCCATTTCTATTTTACCTCTGTCCTTTCTCTTTTTTTACTCCCATCTGTCTATTAGGCCTTCATTATCTTGTTGTTCGATATTTTATGGTGCATTTCTTGATGCTATTGTCCCAACATTTTTTTGTTTTAAAACGAACAAGGTACAAATCATGTAGGAGCAACCCTAGTGAGATCATAAGTGCGCTTTTACTGAGGAATCCCACACTAGGACGAAGCAGCTGTTTAGGTTTTCAATGGTGATTCGTGATGAATACCACCGTCAAATCAATCAATCCCTATGAACCTTCAAACTGAAATATGATTTCACTTGGCATAAAAGTCGTGTGTGGCGACAGAGTTGGTTGTCAAAGATAAGCTAATTACAGTCTTATAGTTTAATTTATCCTCCTTGTTGGTTCAGACTTCATATTTAAAATGATGCTAAATTATTGAGCATATGTCCTGATAACTTGCATGTACTGTTGTTCAATGGAACTTGTACACTAACATCTTTTGCAATGATTGTTACTACTATAATTTACTTGGTGGTGGCTAGCAGTGGGGTCCAGGGCGTGCGTTTCGTTGTGTTTGGGACTCGTCAACTGAATATACATGCACTTCTTCCCACTAGGACTCGAACCCATCATTTGAAACACCAAAGCGTTATTTACTTGACCACTGAGGCATGAGAGCCAAAATAACAACGGGGAATTACAAGTATCAATAAATAATAACTGATACCCGTCACACAGGGAGTGGCTATCGCAACTCAGTAGCCTAGTAGATAAAGCTTCGGCGGTTGAAGCGGCAGGTGCTGTGTTCGAGTCCTGGGAGGGACAGGATTCCTCGCTGGGGTGCAGGTACACCCAATTGGCGAGTCCTAATGGGACTAAATGCGTACCCTGGATTCCACTCCTAGTCACCTCTAAGCAAATTGCAAAATAATAAATATCGAGGCATCCGCATAGAAGCCCACCTGTCAACGGCGGTGGACCAATTCAATCTAGAATAGCAATGAGAAATTATAAGTACCAACGAATAATATTGTAACTACATTTTTGTATTTCCGATCATCTTATTTCTTAGGCTAAAGTGTAGAACTAGACAATTTTTGACAAATCAAGATTGATATTTTTGTTCTGACTCAATAAGATAAGTTCACATAACTTTCCTCTTTTCATTAGTACTGATTCCATTTGAAGATAATAGTATTTTTGTTGAGCTTTACTGGTACGAGTACGTATGGTTTTTTGAATTTTCAAACTTTTATAATAGTAGTTAAATTAGTCAAGATTCCAAGTAAAATAATATGGATGCGAATTATTTATTTACTAACGTCGATAACATTGTGCACAAACCTTTGTAAATTGAATTTTGAGGGAGTCCATGCTCCCAGGTTTCCTTTGTTCCTCCAACTGATGTCAGTCTACGATGAATAATAACAACTTGAAATATTTCCAAATTCCCACAACTCCCTTAAAATTTAATTGAACTGGTGCTCATTGGTGACTGGCGTCGAGAGGTATTCCCGAAGTTCCAGTGAGAAGTCGTGACCGTTGGGGCAAAGCCTGATGGTCGTGAGGACAGTTACTCAACGATGACATTGGGTGGCGGTTACGCTATATCATGAGTTAACAGGAGTTGGAAATGTGGACAATTGGATTCTGACCCAGTGGCTCAATGGTAACGTGCTGGTCACGGAACCTGAAGGTCATGGGTTCGGTTCCTGGCGGGCTTGTGAGTGCGCACTGCTGAGGAGTCCCATACTAGGACGAAACAGTTGTCCAGTGCTTCCAGGTTTCCTTTGTTCCCCCAACTGATGTCAGTCTACGATGAATAACAACTCAAAATACTTCGTAAATGTTTTCCTTTAATTTTTATATCCTTCAATAGTTTGCTATCACATATGTTTTTTTGGGTTTACTTCAGTCACTAAATTTTTTTCATTGTAATATTGGTGTATTCATCCAGGCGTAAATATTTAGCAGTAATAAACTTATGTTATAACTAATTTTTGAAAAAGAAATACTTAGATTACTTATTTGTTAGCACCAACACGTATTTGTTCGTTTGGTCTTCGGAGAAAGAATTGTGTTTTACCACTAAATTACACTGAATTGCCTGTATCAAAGTGATAGTTCTGATCTATCCTATTTACTTGCTAAAAGAACTGGTTAGTCTATTTGTGACCGTAGACTGTACTTTTAAATTAATTGTGAAGAATTGTTCAAATGGTGGAGAATATTTGTAGCTCAGATGGATGACCTTGGTTGTATCGTGTTGTCTGATTAAACAACCCAGCTGAGATAACACAATACAACCGAAAATTGTTGGAGAAAACGAAAATTTCGGCAAAGATATCTCTCATTTGCTCGCCTCTGGTAAGCCAAACCGGGTAGTGTTCAGCAACACGTTTTCGGAGGGCCCGTTTACAACGTCCAACATAGTCAGCTCCATAGGAGCATGTAAACTTGTAGATACACATAGATGTGGACATAAGCGGAAGTCTATCCTTCACACATTGACGAATCAGACGGCGGCTGGAGAATATCAATCCCAGTCTGATAGCATAGAAGCTACTACTGATGCATCTTGACAGACGATCTTTCAGCACTTCAGCTGTAGTGTCTCCTTTGAATTCTAGATTCATGGTTAAAATTTTCTTAGGGATTGTAATGGGATGGAGAGTGGTTCGTTTCTTCAGATTCTTATCAATAAATCTTTTAGGTTATCTGTGGAGCTGACTATATTGGACGTTGTAAGTGGGCCCTCCGAAAAGATATCTTTATCGGTGATTTCGTTCTCCATAGCTGTAGAATTGCAATTTACACATTTTTCAACGAATTTGTTTTCAAGCTGTACAATCGTGTATATATATACGTCCAATATAGTCAGCTCCACAGATACCCTAAAAGATATATATATATATATATATATATATATATATATATATATATATATATATATATATGATTGAAAAATTATATCCCGTGAGGAAAACTAAACACTATATGATGATGATGATGATGACATAGGCATTGTGATTGTGATAACCAGTTCACCTGCTCTTGTGGAGCAGGGTACATCGGCCGTAGCCAGAGAATGCTTTCTACACGTATACGAGAGCATGTTTCTGCTTGGTTTTATAAGGGTGAAAGAAAGTTTGTAAGAAGTTCGATTCTAGAACATTTGATTGATTTCCATCACTCAACAGACCCAGACAATGACTTTAAAATTATTTTTCAAATTCGCCCAAACCCCGCACGTTTTCTTCCTTTTCAACTCCTTAAAACAATGGAGGCTCTAGAGATTCATAAACTAATAAATGATATTTGTATGCAAAAAAGTATATACAGTCACTGTTTTTATCATGGCCATAACATTTTCCCTCCCCTTTAGCTTCCCCCCTTTGTTAATTTAACCAGTGTATCCTTCCTTTATCACTATTATTGTTATTATAATTGCCTTCACGTTGATTAGTTTCCGACGTTATTTCACTTAGTTGTCTTAATCTTTTTAGAAAACATTGATTCCATCTTGACCAACTTGTCTAATCCTATTACATAATACTTAATTGATTTGGCACTTTCATCAATTTTTTCACCCCCTTCTGAGTTATATACTTTTTATGAACTATTCCATATATTACGTAATCTACTTTGTTATCATAATCACGAATGCCTATGTCATCATACGCTCTATTATTATTATTATTATCATCATCATATAGTGTTTAGTTTTCCTCACGGGATATAATTTTTCAATTATATATATATACGATTGTACAGCTTGAAATAAATTCGTTGAAAAGAGTCTCTTCGCTGAGTATCTTGTTCTTGATAATACAATGGGAATTATAAAATTATACATTTTTGTCTAACTGTATTTGATAGTTACGTTTGTGCAGCTGTGAAGTATGAAATCACCGAGAATCATATCTTCGCTAAACTTCTCGTTTCCCTTAATGTTTTGATGGGTATTTTCAGTAGTCAGAAGAATTGTCTCAGATATTAACCATTAATCTAGAGTTCATTTTAAAAATATGTTCTTAATCATTGTGGTAAATTTCCACTTCATTTTTATTAATCATGAATTTATTGAGTTTTTGAGCATTTTTATTCATAACAGGTATGTATACCAACAACAATTGCTGCTATAAGTGTCACTAAACCATATGATTTAATGGAAGGATGGGGCCTAGAAGAAGATCCACTTGTCTTCTGTTTTGGTCACACTGATCCTGCCAGTAATTTGAATCTTTTTCGGGAACAAGTATGTTTTCTTACATATTTAAAATTATGTTCATTTCTAGTTCCTAAGATAGATCGAGAGTGCTTCACACAATATATTATATCAGCTGAAGTATAAAAAAGGTGTTGTGACCATAAGACTTTTGAATGTTTCGGCAAAATCTATGGAGTGACTTGACGCTATAAATATACTACGTAATATACTTACTATGTAGGAATCTAATGTACTGCGTCATTATAAGGGGTTTGACATTGTTCTTATCATACAATCTCTTGATGTGCTATAAGCAGTTCGGTAATCCTGCTTGAAGACTTGGACAATCAGTGATTAAGACCAGTCAGGAAGGATAAAATCTGATTCCCATACACTAGCCAACAGTTCAGTTGATCTAATAGTCTTCAACCACTGTCTTGAAATGCTTCTAGCGTTAGCCCATTTGGGCTTGCTTCTCTTCCTCGTTTCAGGTTATGTAAGGCCTCGAATTCTTCAAAAGTCAAAGGGCTGTTGTCAGTTTTTTGACTGGGATTCTGGAAGTTCCAAGTAGCTGCATGGCTTCGCCTACCCACTTGAGCGATGAAATCACCTACTGCCACGACCTCATCTGAAAGTTGGGCTTTCGGTAGGAAGCTACACAGTTTTCAGTATAACTTATCCGAGCTACAGTCGGTAGGTGCGTAAGCAGAGATTACAAAGGTAATGGTGAGTTTCACCCCACTGCACAGTTTTGTTGAATAACACAGGTGACTTTCAACCCGAATTCAACCGAGAGGTGCACTTTTTGGATTAAGACTAAACCTACACATAGAAGACTACGTAGCACTACTCACATGTGTTGGGATCGACATGCTAGCAATATCGATTTCAAGCGAAAGGTACTACGCAGGTCGGTTGATGAGGTTCTGAACCCCCACTAACCGAGGTGACTTGGATATGTGTTGCCCATGTCGAGCCACCATCTGCCTCGATTTGCAATCTCATCAAAAATTAGATTCGGTTGAAAAAAGGCTCAAAGTGACTGTTGGTCTTGAGCCCTATGAAGAGTTATAAACTACTTGGTCAGAGTCTTATAAACAACAAGAATCAGTGGTTGGAGACTCTTGATAACACGACTGAAGACCAGTCATAATGTTGCAAATGTATTCACTCTCTGACATCTAATGCTTTGAAATTCTCAGTAACTTTCATCTTCACACTTCCTTTCGTCCCCTCCCCATACGCTGTTATCTGCTTTGACACCACTCTTTCTCTAGCCATTTGTTCTTTGTATGCTGCTGTGAAATATAGCAACTTTAACGAATGCACTTGGGTGCGAGGTTTCATTTTAATTTTATCTGTCTATGTCTGTTTGACGAGAACTATTCACTGAATCTGTAGAGTGTATTTGCGCTTCATCACACTGGCCGAGTAAAGGTAGATGAATAATCGCACTGTTTTCCTGCATACATGGCTCACAAATGTAGCACACACCCGTGAAATGAGAAACCTGAGTTTTGGCTAGCGGAGCTTGTTATCTAACATGACAGACACTGTGAATTTTGAAAGGATCGATGTATAGTTTGAAGTACGGTTTTAGGAGATCAAGGATTATCTTTCATGAATTAGAATTTTTATTAGTCGTCTACAAAACTTGGAGAAATTAAAGGTGACATAGGAATATTGACAGAGAATAATTAAAAGCCAATAGTATGGAAGGTTGATAGTGATTCGAATTAACTCAAGCACTGACAAAAGTACAAGGTGAGTTAACATCACTCCCCAACTATCTATACCGTCAGAGACTACTTCTTCTTGAGGTACCTAAAAACAGTTGCTTAGTAATTGTGATCTTATTGACCTACCTTCATGATCTCAGAGTGCAAGACACATCTGCTAATGTCCAGCTGTTTCAGGAGTTTCGGTTTAGAATTGATTGTGTTATATTATGACGAAAAGATCGTTTATTGGTGGCATCATAATATACCCTGTCTCTTCTAATCTCTTCTTCCCAAAAGGGAAGGTATCATTATGGAGTCGTGTATATCTGCAGGATACACCTTATTGCTATCACGCCACTTGCAGTCAGTAGTATGACTTCGGTTTCCGGACTATCGCAATCGCATGAACTATTTACACTACGACCGGAGCTTCATTTAATCTTACTACTATCTAACACAAGTTTCTTGCTTGATGCGTCTTCGAAATCTAAACGTTTCAGTCAACATAGCTTGTTAGGTCATTGTGGTATGCGAAGCAGACTATCGCATCAAGGTAACAGTTATCAATCGGTTATTTTACTTTAATCTGATTTCAGGACATAATATTTCTTTCTGTAAATCAAGTTTCATCTAGTGTTAATTTTACTAAAAGTTGACACTTAATAAAACCTTCTCTTTACAAAAAATATTGTTTTTAACTATGAGAAAGTACTTTGTTTATTGCTTGTTTTTTTTTGTTTACCTCGTTACGAAATTCTACACCTACTACATAATCAAAGAAGTTCTACCTAGGTACATGCAGATAAATGATTAGTTTGTTAGTGAATCCGAGATAAGTAAGAAGTACAGAAGTTTGAATTTCACATGTGTAGCATCAGTGTACTTGAAACTTATCAATGATTTCTATCTAGGGTGAAAAATGAAAGTTAGAGTCTTTTGTCAGGTCCTAACTGGAGTCAGATGGCTCGTATGGTTTGTGTAATCTGGATCTGGTATGAGCCGCTTAATAGTGCAAGAACATTGCTTGTCAGGTAGTGAACAATAGAATAATTTCTGTTCTTAGCCCCAGCTAATTGGAAAAACTGACACTGGATGGAATAGTTTACTAAATTAATCGCAGTGACTAAAAACCTGGTTAAAATTCTTACATCTACATTTTTTCGTACGCCTTAGAGACCAGGATAATAAATAACGCCGTTAAAAAAGGCAAAAAATGTACGACCGGCAAAAATGAATTAAAAATCGATGCACACACCACTTAAGAGTATTTTGGAGATGAAAATCCCAACAAAATGTCATTAACTAGCTAGCAAATACATTTTTACTGAGCTTTAGCGTTTCCTGAGGATTTAATTTTTCTTTCCCAATCATCGATTTTGTAGAAATGTAATCTACGAGTTGTAAGTTTATTTTTTAGCTTCTGTCTACTGGTAAACCAACATGCTCCGTGAGTGAGCAATGGGTGACATCTATTGGTTGAAGGCTGATGATGCTACCTGGCTACCTAAATCCCGGTAAATGAGCTGGGTTCAGACCCATTGGTTGAAAGCCATCTCATTAAACACATGTCCAAGAGCTCCAACATGTTCCATGAAACTTATCATTCAAATTTTAATTTTTCAGTACCTTATCGTATTAGATATCATCTGACTAGATGATTCGCATCAATAAAATATTATCTTACTATTTTTATATGTCTTACATTTTGAATATGCTTAGAAAAAGAAGGAAGGAAAAGAAATGTCCTCAGCAACCATACGCACGTTTGTGCAGTAGGCAATGAGCTACACCTTTTTTATGTGGACTAATGATATTGCCTATCCCCCATGATATTCCTTATTGTGGTGGACTGGATCATGCAGCAAACAGTGGGCAGCGAGAAGAGGGGGATACACTGGACTACGGAAAAGAACCTAGAAGACTTGGATTTCGCCGATGATTTGTGCCTGATGTCACATAAACGTGAAGATCTACAGGCAAAAACTAACAAGTTGATAGAAGAGGCAGCGAAGACGGGACTTCAGGTGAATATAGAGAAGACAGAGGTGATGAAGATACCGCATCAACAACTCCAACAGCAACAACAAACTCCAATGACCATCAACGGAGAAATTTGAAGGAAGTAACCTCCTTCACCTATCTAGGAAGCAGTGTTTCAACTACAGGCGGGACAGACGAGGATGTCAAAGTCAGAATCTGAAAAGCAAGACAGGCCTTCCTGCATTAGCCTGAAACCAGTGTGGAGATCTGCACTCAGCATGTGGAACAAGATACGGATTTTCAACACCAACATCAAGTCAGTGCTTCTGTATGGTTGAGAGACTTGGCGCGTCACGAAAGGATTTCCAATAAACTACAGACATTCATCAACAACTGCTTACGCTGGCTACTGAAGCTCAGATGGATTGCCAGAAAGAATGAGCAACCAGGAGCTCTGGGAATGAACCAACCAAGAACCTATCACGCAACAAATATGCAGGAGGAAGTGGAGATGGATTGGGCATGCACTGAGAAGGCCGACTGAGGACATCACGCGCCAGGCCCTCAAGTGGAATCCCCATGGGAAGCGACGAGTTGGACGTCCGAGGATGACATGGAGGAGGTCGTGCGAGGAAGAAATGAGAGCTTGTGGGCTGTCATGGAGCCAGGTTCAAAAGATCTCAGAGAACAGAGGTCACTGGAGGCGTGCTATTGAAGCCCTATGTTCCATTAGGAACCCAAGGGACTAATAATAAAAAATAATAATAAAATGATATTGCCTAACTGCTCAAACCTCATTAGATGGAGTGTGGTTCGAAGTCAAGTACTTAGACCAATGAACCACAACTCCACTTGCGTTTTAGAGCTAGTTGTCTTCTGTAGTTTTGGTAAATTTTAAATTATTTGCTATTCTTTTAAGTGTCAGTATACGTTTACTCGACAACAACAATTCCTTTATTTGCAGAACTGGATGATTAGTCGATAGCTCACTAGATAAATACTTCTGTATAGTGATCTAATGGCATGCATGAATTGATTTTTTTATTCAATGTTTACGAATTAATCTTCAATTGATGGTTATTATTTTCTTGGTGAAATCTATTTCAGGTTAATCGTTTAGCTGAACTCATAAATATTCGTTCTGAGAATGATATGAGCATTTTCACAAGTGGTTGCATCATAAATATGAGCGGATTTCGTAAAGACGATTCAGATGGTGGATCTAGCAAAGAAAGGGTATTCAAGCGATACGTACAGCTGCCGCAGCTTTTGAGGCAAGCCAGTTTATACTGCTAATACTGTTTGTCATTCAAAACTATGTGTAATTTAAACTCCTGTTCCGAAGCTATTTTCCATAAGTACTGTTATAAATACAACTTGAATAGACGTAAATACTATAACGATGTCTAAATGGTAATTCTTGATACTCTGCTCATGAGCCTGGTACCCACATAGCACATAGTTCATTCTGAGGTTGTTTATTGTAGATCATGTATCGACTAGTAATCTGAAAGTTGTTTCTTTCAAAACCATAACGATGGAAATTTCATCATTGAATACAAGTGAATGGTACTATTTGGGAATCAGTCAGAAAGTCTACTGTAGTCACTCCGCTAAATTAGAATATGCATAATAAACCAGTTGTTTAAATACGTATATCTTAGTGTATACACAACTTTTCTGTTGGTAAACTTTTAACTACCTGAATCGTAGTAATGCGTAAATCAAGAGTACATTACTTACGATAGCCTCATGCTGCAAAGAAATGTATTGCACTTGTAAATATTCGTAAAATGTCAGTTTATTACTCGTGCTGTTAAGTATATGGAAGTATGAAGGTTTACGTTTCGTTTCTGTACATATGAGCATAATAGGATCACCCTAATTCACTGATAAAAGTGTAAAACCTGGGCGCTGTGGTAGAATGTAATTCCATACTAGATTTGTTTATTTGATATACAGCACACACTAATAATACACTATTACTTATTTGATGACATTTTAAGGATAAATTATTGCTCATAATCATATCAGTGTAATCACACAACTTTCGGCATCTGGTTTGTGTAGTCGTATAAGCTCATATTCTTTGTTTTTATTGGCAGTAAAATTTTTCGTATCTCTGGTATAGGTGAACAAAAATTCAGTAATCAGTCTCCTCCACCTAAATATATTGGACTTATGTACGGTGGTTTTGTTAAACCCTGTTGTATGGTTGTGTGTTAACGCATGCATTGCAGTAGCCGGGTTTTTTTCTAGATTAGTGATCCTATTGGGGTCTGTCATCCTATACTTAACTAAATTCCTATGTGCCGATAATCTCAATGACCGCGATCGGCAAGTTTGACTGATATGCCTGACCTCATAGCCATTGCATGGGATTTGAAAGATTAGATTATTTTGCTTAATTGCATTTATGGGATCCTAAAGCTTATCTGAGTGAGTTTGTAAGTTTAAATGCCACCCTAATTCCAGCTTTGTTGAGGATCCTACGTAAAGTTTCTGATGTACCTTCCCTATAGGGTAACACAATGGAGGCTGTGGATTCCTTTCTACTCGGGTTGTCGTTATTGTTCGTATTTGTATTACCGTTATTATTCCATCTGTTATATGTTCGTACTAATTTTTTGATAAACTGTAGAGGATAATTATTAATTATCAACGCTTCTTTCATGTGCTTCAGTCCCTTGTTTAAGTGCTTACACTGAATAGACAGTTTTCTAGCTCTATCATCTAGACACTGGACTAAACCTGCCTTAACTGACACTGGATGAGATGACCTGAAGTCTAGATACCTGTCAAAACGTGTCGGTTTCCTATAGGCAGTAGTATCCAAACCACCGTCTATCCTTGGTTTTACTCTGCAATCCAAAATAACTAATTCTCTTAGTTCATTTTCTTCCTTGTAAGTGAATTGGACTGCATCTACTACTGAGTTTATATGTGGGAAGAAACTCGACATTTTCGGATTTCAACACAGTAAATGTGTCATCCACAATTCGCCACCAACCTTAGGTGTAGGATCAAACGTTTGTAAAGCTATGTTTTCCCAACTGACTATAAATATTCCTCCTACGATTGGGGGTACTGATGATCGCTTTGATACTCCTTCTGTTTGTCTATATATTTTGTCCCGAAACTTGAAGAATTAACATTGTCTTCGAGATAAACTATAAAGCGCACAAATGACTTCACTAAGTTGATAATTGTAAGAGGAGGAAACAAAGAGGGTTAGAGGTATTCTGAAAATTCACACTTAACGTCTTGTATTTTTGATTTCACAAAGTTTTCGAATATAAAGAACATCCCAACAGGTACATCGTCCTTAGAATATTTATAATGAGAATTGTTACTGTGTCGCCTGTGATGTTGCGGAACGTATTTAAGTTTAAATAAAAAATTGGTGATAATTAGTTGAAGGCAATCTGCAGGATGCTCTAGATATTTGTCAATGTTTGTCGACACTCGTCAGCAAGGTGTAATCGCATTTCATTCACGCATTACACAGTTTTCTATGCCCTTGTGGTCCAGATTCTAAAGAGGTAGTAGGTTAAAAATCTAGCATATCTATTTCAGTTTATGTGGATGAATACTTTTCGATACCGAAATGCAATCTATAACCCAATAAATAGGCACGTACGTGATAATTAGATTATACTTTCCTCAAATCAATAACGGCTGTCTTAATATAGTTATGGATCTCATCCATCCAGTTATGTGAAGTCTGTACTAATTGGAATGGTTGCTAATTTTGTTATTTTTTCATTAACTTTAATTACAGATCCACCAATGAAGTCATACTTTTAGCTAATTCTGACTGCGATGGCGATAAGGTAACTCATTGACACTAAGCACTATCAAAATCGCCAATCCAAAAAAGTCCAGTTATACCTTCATTGCTGAATTGGGTGGGATTCTTAAGGTAGTAAACTGGTTCTCAGTCTAAAATTTGTTGGCAGTGTATATACGTAGATCCTTATTTAGGTAATACCTTAATGTGTTTTGTTCATTTAACTATCAGCTTGACATATATTGTTTACTTTGAGCTTATTAGCACAGAGGTACCTGCATAAAAATGAAGTCCTTTCTTTGTAGATCGACACGTTGTTAGTTATCGAAGATGGGTTTCTCGCTTCATTCCTACGTGAAGATCTTCCGCCTGAAGTGACTATAGTGCGATTACCGAAATCTTCAGGTGCTATAACTAGAAGTCCAGACCAATGGACACGTCAACGAGATACTCGAGTGTGTGCTTATTTGCATGGAGAAAACCCTTTAAGAAGACTGCATCCACATCAAATTATCCTTAAAGCTTCTGAGGTTAGTTACGTCTTCATCAATACCTTAAGTTGGTTGTTTAATTCTGATGTTTATTGATGTATTTCTTTATATTATGTACATCATTTTATTTTACAATTTCACATTAAATTCCAGGGATTCTCGTTGTGCTCAACTGGTCCTTCCATCGCTTTAAGTGATCCCTTTTGATAATGTCTTCTAAATGGAGATTTTGTATCCCAAATTATGTTTTCTTCAAGACTTGTTTATTTTTGTATCTGCGACTAACTGATTTAGATGGTTAACTTTCAGCCAGTGGGCTAAAGTTAGAATCCCGCCCCTCCTACAGGACTTACAAGTAGTCACAAACCAATGCTTAATCGGCTTTATTTATTTCGATATATTTTTATTTAAAGGCCATCGAATTCTGTTCACTAAAACAAGACCTTAACTTGAATTAATAGAGCTAAAGGTTTGTGTTTGACATTCATGTATAAGTTTTCAATTTTATGACAAACTAACTATATCACATTTTAAAGGATATATCCCCTACAGACTGCGTCATAGGGTTTTCAATGCTTAACAAACCGGTTTAAATACATTTTTCTTTCTTTTTTGTAATTAAATGTTACCATTTTCTAACTTCATTGAGTATTTCGTTCTGTTCGTTTCAGTATTCAATTTATAAAGTTGGAAGTGAAGCTATTCCCGATGCTCTTCTACCACATGGTGCTCAGGAAGAAGAGACATGGCGTAATCCAATTCAAGTCGCAGTCAGTCGTGATTTAAAAAATCGTCTCTTGGCCGTTTCTCAAGCATCGGAACCTTATCAAGTTCCAGAAGCACCTGTGTATGGCTTTATTGTGGTTGTCAATGTTTCCGAAGACAAATCCACATTTACTATACTCAGTCCAAGTGCACATCCTCCTCCAAACAACCTATTTTTACTAACTAGTATATGTTATGTTGATCCTGAAAGTATATAATGTCATTTAAAAAGTACCGGTAGTTTTGTACATAAATTTTTATTATGATGGGAATGAAGTGTTACTGCATCCTCCAAAAAAAGAAATACCGATTATTTCCAAAAATATGTTTTCTGCTGTCTCATTCACTTCGCATTTTATGTCTATTCTCTTGCACAAAACTTAACGCCGTTTCTTTGAGTCTATATGCTTTCGTCCCAACTGAAAATAGTATTCCCCTACCTTCCAAGTGGGCTATCGTAATAAACCATCCTAATTATATAAGCTAAGATGCTTGTCACTTGATGTCTTATCGTATCACGAAGGTCCGTTGCTGAACATAAGAAGGAAAGTAGCTAATCTTAAGGTCCGTTCGGCATTTGCCAACTTGCCTCATCTGTGGCGCCGACTGGTGAGATATCCGACTACTTATTCAAAGGTTGAGTACACAGCGCTGCAGTCCGTCTGTCCTGTTATACGGCTGAGACATAGTCGTTAAAAATCGAAAATGCTAACCAGTTAACGAATTTTAATCACAGATGTCTTCGCAGCATTGCTTGAGTTTAATAGAATTACCATATGAGCAATGTTCAGGTCAGACAAAGGGTACTGAGCAAGACAGGCAAGTCGATTGATGAGGTTGTGAACCTTACTCGACTGACTACGTTTAGACATATACTGCGCACGCCGAACCGCAGCCTACCTAGACGTGGCATGCTATGAGAAGTGGGATTGTGGTGGAAGAGGGTTCATGGTGGCCAGACCAAGACCTGACACCAGTCGATGAAATCCATTACTGTTGGTCTGAACCGTGTGGGAGGTGTACAGCTTCTGACTGGGGTCCTTGTGACGAAAGGAATCAATAGTTGAGGACTTCTGGTGGCACGGCTGGAAATCAGTTGCAGATGTATTCACTCCTTAACACTTTAAGCTTGAATATTTTGCACTGACCGTTATCTTCAAATTATTTGTTAGTTCACACATTTTTTCTACCCACCTGTTAGTTGTATACTACTGTGAAACGTTGCAACTTAGATATATACAAGGTTCTACGTTGATTTTGTCTCTCTGACAATGATACAGCACTAGTTACGTGACGTTTCGAGCATAAATTGCTGCTCATAATCCTATAAAAGTAGTCGCACAACTTTCGACTTCTGGTTTTATAGTCCTATCGCCTCATATTCTTTCCTTTTTACTCTCAAAACGTCATCGAGGAAATGATATTGTATCACTGCATGCTATATTAAATAAATCTAATATTTAAGTATAGCTACAAAATCCATTTATAACTGGCTTCAAGCAGGCTACCAATCTTTTAAACCGCACGCTGTCAACATGATGAGATCACTAGTGTTTAGACATTTTTAGGTTATTCACAAGGAATTAATCATCCATAGTGTAGACGGTTGAGAAGTGAAACCCTGGCGCCAGCCCAGTTCCTTGTGACCACCATTAATCCTCCATCGTTTTCTGTCGGCAGGTCTACATCTCCAAATTCATCCGATTTATCGGCCCTTACCAGCGATTCAAGTGAATAAGGTGGCATGTTTTATCTCTTCAAACTACATATTAGAGCAGTTGGTTCATTTGTCAAGTACCAAATCATACAATAATTCTGCTAACCAAAACTAGATATCCAAGCCATTGATGTATTTTGTCGCAACTCCCTATAGTTTTTCAAAATGTACTGAAATTGTTTGGAATTTAAGTAGTCTCTAGACAAGCAACTGCAAAAGGATGATAAATGGTGCCGCTCATGGTGTATGAGACCCCGTAAGTGGTGCCGTCTTAGCACTACGGTAATTTTAAGAGTCCAGATCAATAAGACACTGACAGATACATTTCCTCCTATACAACTGTGACCCTTTATGAAGCTGTTTTCGGAACGTTGAAACGAAGTCTACAAAACGGCTGTACAAATATATATATATATATATATATATATATATATATATATATATATATATATAATTAAACTGACAAACTATGCAGTGACTGTATGTATCATATAGTCGTATAAACAATTTGTAATATTCTCTAGTGTACATATTAGTACACATTAGGACGTCAAAAATACCATCACACTGTAAGAGATTATGTATTTACAGTAGATATAGTTACAACTTGTATTCCAATAAAACTACTGCAACTGTATTGGCGTCCTTTGAACTAACTAACGTAATAATGAAAGGTTCGTAGTTAGACTTGGTGGATAAATGATCACAAACGTCTATATGAAATATTTATTAGAATTTGCATTTTGTCAGAGTTTTAGAACATTGATGGCTGACACTAAAGAGGGTGAACAAAATAATTTCGTTTTTTATGCCATCTGATTATGACGAAGTTGGTTATAGGCTAGCCAGGGAAACTAACAATACAAATTAGTTGAACAGGTAGGAAGTTTCTTGGTGAAAACTAGTCATTTCCACCAAAATACAAATATTCAGATAGAGAGCACCCATTAGTGCCATTTATTGAAAGAGGTTATATCCTCTTGACTAACTTTTAAATACATATAAGGAGCATTTTTCTTCTTTAATCCCGGTGTAGTGTATCAGACTAATTAAATGTCAAATATGCGTTGGAGTGAAGGGTCGTTAGGTGAGAAGAAGTACAAATTACTACTTAGGAAAGCTGAATATGTTCAGAATAAATGATGTGGAGCATTGTGAAATTAAATTATGATCAGACATCCATTTAAATATCATTTGCAACTTCCTAATCCAATAGATTACTAGCCGGTCCTGAACCCGGGTAAAGAGGGAAGGTTGGGCATAAGGCTAGCAACACTACCCCGTAAAACCAATCCAACCGCTAAAGAAACTTCAAAGCACAAACAAAATACACATTATAAGAACAAACTTATACCTCGTGAAATCGGAGAGGCGAAATGACACCAGTTGGTGAAAGCCTTCGGGAAGCCAATTGGCCAATTTGTCTTCTCTCTCTCGATGAAAGCGAAAGTAAACCTGGGGACATGGAATATGCGCATTATGTTTGAACCTAGCAAGGCTGCCCAGATTGCAAACGAGATGAGGAGGTATCGCATTGAAGTGCTAGGAATTTGCGAAAGCAGATGGAATGGAAGTGGACCCTCCTAACTGTCAACTGGAGAATCAATAATCTACTCCAATATTGTCACCCAGACGACAACCACGAGCACACTGAGTTTTGGAGTGGCTATCATGGTGTCCCCAACAGCATCGAAGGCTCCATGCAATGGGCACCAATCTCCTCCAGAATCAGGATCATGACAGCAAGATTCAAATTGAAAGGAAGGAAAGTCACAATCATACAATGCTACCCTACGCACCTACAAATAATGCAGATGAAGAGAAGAAGGAGGAATTCTACAGACAACTGCAATCAGCACTGGACGAGACCTCAGTTGGCGACATCAAAATTCATCCTAATGGGTGGCATGAATGCCAAACTGGGAGGGGACAACACAGGAAGAGAACTAACCATGGGTCGAGGGACACTATGTGAATTGGTGAATGGGAATGGAGAATCGCTTGTGGAATTCTGTGCATTCAACGATTTGGTGATTGGAGTCAGGCACTATGTTCAAGCACAAGGATATCCACAAAGCGAGCGGCATGGATTTCACCAGACACCAGAGAGACACACTAAAAATCAGATCGACTTCATCTCAATGTGAAGAAAGTGGAGATGGAGATGCAGCCTACTGGACACAAGACCAGATCAAGAAAGGGAGCAGATGTAGGTTCACACCACTCACTATCTAGTGCAAGGAACCTACCTTCCAAATCAAGTTGAAAGCCTTCACAGAAGCTGGTGATGAGAGACAACAGTTCAGGTTCAACACTCAGCTGAACAGAAACTGAACTGAAGGACGAAACTACAAACGACATCTTCACGTCAGCCATCAAGAGAAAATGGAAGACATCGAGCAGCATCCCTGAAGAAACCTGTGTGGATGAGCACTGGAACTCTGAAAGCTATGTGGAAAGAAACCTGTATAACCGTATTAGGAATGAAGAAGAAAGAAGATAAGGAATGGATCTCGACGGACACATGGAAGCTGATAGAGGAGGGAGAGGAAGATAGTGATGGTGAAGCAGAAGATGAACCAGTGCAAGGATGAACGACGAGAAGATGAACTGAGTAAAACGTATAAAACACTAGACAAAGAAGTGAAGAAGAGTGCGCGCAAAGACAAATGACACTTCCACGACAACTGGCAAGTAAAGCAGAACACGCTGCTGGTAGGAGAGCCCTAGCAACATTGTATCAAATAACCAGAATACTATCTGTGAGGAGATCAACACATATGAAACCAATAAAAGATGATGAAGGAAGTCTGTTGTGATGCCCCAGATTTGTATAAACATTGATATTGATCTGAACAACTTAACGTGTCATTCCCACATCATTTTTGCGGTATGACTAAGAGTCTATTTTCTGTCCCCATTGTAATGTAAATCGCTAATTGGTTAACTTTTACTCTTGCTATGAGAATTTCTCCAATTGTGGACAAGGTCATTTTTCATGTGTATACTTATTCACATGTTTTGGATTGATACATTATGTTTTATTCTCGGAGCAATACACTCTCCTATCAGCCAGCTTCGGTCTTCTCTGTATTCGTCCCGGGGTTGCAGTCAGTGTCTGTTGCGTATCAAGTTAGCTGTCAGTTAAGCGCGCGTATTATATTCGTTCTATTAATATATGTACATATACGATTAACACTTCGAAACCATAACAATATCTAATTACCAAAGAAGAGAAAAAAAAAGGAAACGATGGTCTGAACACTTCAAAAACTTTTGAATCGACCACCACCACCTGCAGTTCGTCTAGAAATACCACCTGCAGTGCAGCCACAAAACTATCAGTGAACTCAAGCTCTCTGATGAAAGCCGAAGTCCTGAACGCCATAAGGTTACTGAAATGCGTTAAAGCAGCAGGACCAGATGGAATCCCACCAGAAGCACTGAGAACAGACACAGGGACAACAGCGGACATGCTCACACCTCTAATGCAGAAAGTTT